CAGGATCCCCCTGAAGAAAAACTATTGAGAGACTGGTGTGCACACAGAAGCTCTGTGGAGCCCGGAAAGATTGGGTGGACATTTGTTTACTCCAATGTCCATGGGAAGGTCACTTTGACTGCAACTAGTTCCTGTGTGGTTTCGGACTGGTGTGTATGAGTAACTGGCTGGAGCTTGCAGGTCATGACCAGGGCTGTGGGTGTCTGAGGACCACAGGCAGAAAGGGTATTGAAGGCTTGTACTTCGCCCACTCATGGGTCTGTGTATGAGTCAAAGATGAGGAACTACAGGAAAAGGGAGACAGATTTGGTGTCTTACCTGGGTTGGGGAGAAAACAAGGATGCATCTAACTCAGACTGCTGAGTTCTCTTACTCACAGTTGTCATTTGGGTTCATGCACAGCACGTCCCTTGTATGATTCTGCTCCATTGTACTAACACTGACGGAACTTCCCAGTTCCTGCTGCTTCTCTCCCTGGCTTCAGGCCTAGCCTCTCTCCCATCTCTATATCCTTGACCCCTAACCTTTTCTCTGTCAGAATATTCTGAAGATGGAAAGTTTTCTAATATGCAACTATCTTATCATAGTTGTTCAAATATTTTTCTGTCTTCTGTTAACATTCTTTCTTTTATTAATAGCAAAAACAAGAAACAAACAAGTGAAAAACCCTAATAATAATTGCTTATGGGATTTCCTTAAACCTGTTCATCTTGAAATGAGAGAGTCTTTTGGAAGAGAAAGATAAACTCGGCTGAAAGACTGCCTGGAGGGGAAGTTACAGAGCTAAGAGTGAGGGTAAGCCTGGAGTGGGTTATAAGCACACTTGTCACTTCAAGTTTAAGCCAAGAATGTGGTGATGGTTATGGTTTCTTTCTTTTCTTAGAAACTCCAGGGTCAGTTTGTTTACCATAGTGGGAGTGAGTGTGGACTGGGCCTTGACACTGCCAAAGTCCCTAGAGACCTTCCCATGTTTGTGTGCGGTTCCTTTTAGAACCCACTCCCCTTTCCAGTCTTCGTTGAGTGTCTACCCCACAGCCCCAGATAGCCCTCTGTTCAGAAAGCACTGGACCCTGCTGGGAAAAGGGTAGACATCTGGCTTGTGGCCCTAGGGATTACCCTGCAGATAGTCTGCTGTCTATTGTCCCTTTGCTGCTTAGAGAGGGAAAAGGTCTCTCTGTCACTGTCCTTATCTCTCTCACATTAACCATGACCAGTGTCATGTGCCCCGGTTGTTCACCTGAAGCCTTTCTTGGTGAACAAATGAATTCTATGCTGGTGTCTGGGGAGGAAGGGACACTTCTTGCTGGCCTCCAAGCACATTCTAATCTCTGAGAGCAGTTTTCATGATTATTTGAGGAAACCCAGGAAAGGTTTTAGTTACTCAAGGCACCCGGTGTGTGGTCTTCCCGCACAAAGAGTGTTTGGGAATGCCGGAGGAAAGTTAAAGATAGAAGTTGCAGAAACAGAGGAGGTGGGGATTATTTGGATCTTGCCATAAAAGAGGTCTAGCTGAGTCTCTTCAAGACTTGGGGTTTGTCCCAGAAGCTACTGCAAGAAGATTCAGGCTTCAACTGTGATCTTTTCACTTTATTTCTTCCATCATTTGAGTGCTGTGTTTGTCCTTGTAGACAGAAGGCCAGGTGATGCCGACCTTTGATGGTACTGGGAATTTCAGTGGTGCTTGGGTTCTGGTCCCTCCACTAATGGGCTGAATGACTACAGCACTCACTTCCCCTCCCTGAACCCTGGTTTGTTCATCTTTGAACGGAAAGGGCAGGGCTGGTTCATCTCTGGAGGTGTTTTTTTTTTTTTTTTTTTTCCATTTCAAGTCCCTGAATCTATGGTTATTTCCTCTTCATCAACAAACAAGCTTTGTTCATTTAAAAGTCTTGACACTGACATAATATTCAAACTCCACTATGTTGGAATATGAGATACACCTGAATCTCTTTCAGGATACAGGCTTCATTGGTCAGGGTGAGAGAAAGCCACAAATATACCTTAGCTATAACTGATGTCCAGATTTAGAACTACCACCTACTAAACTGATACCTTTGTGAGGATTAGAAAAAAAGAATAAAAGAAAAAGAGAAAAAAAAAAAGAGTCACTATGGGTTGACTTAGCTGTAAGCCTATCAGATAGAATTCTGGCGACTTTCATCCCCATGGGCCTCAGAAATTCTTATGCAGTGAGCCACCCGCATGTACATATATCACCAGATCATTGTTTCTTTAGGCTCTGTCTCTTTAAGCTGGGCTACTGCTTAAAAAGAAGAAAGATGAGATGAGGCAAGACCAACACATATCACTGATAAGACAAAGAGAGACTTTAGGCATTACTGCCTTAAACTATTTTATTAAAAAAGCACCGTCTAGCCCATGATACTGCTATGCCCTAAACCCACATACCCCATCTGGTTTACATAGCTTCAAGAAGTTATAATAATAAACCCTCACATTTTATAGAGCCTTAAAATTTATGTAGCACATTAAATGTACTTGCTTTTTTATTTTTTGAGTTGGATTCTGAGTCTCTCCACTGCCCTGGTGAGTAATAATTATCTCTGTTATAAACACAAAGGAAATGAAGCTGAGTGAATCAAAGTCTTGTTCAAGGGCAGTTGATATGTGATCAAGTCAGGTACTGAACACATCTGACTAGCTCCATCAAGGTTTTGTTGTTGTTGTTGTTTTTCCTATGCCAAGTACATAAGATATGGATCTGGGCAGTGGCATCAGATCTAAAAGTAATTCTGCAAGAGTCTGGGATCAGTCTCATCAGGCCATTCTCTTCATTCTAATGAAGACAGGTCTTTTACACAGGTAACTAACATTCTGAAGAGGTGGTAGCAGATATTGCAACTGAACTAAATATTCCTCCTCCTCCTTTTTTGAATGAAGGAGTGCTTACTAGAGAGTCGATCACCTAGTTAAATGGATAGGCCATACTTGTGTGCCACTAATCCAGAATTATTTCACAATTTTAGGAATTCCTCTGCCAGGCATTTCGGGAAAGCCTTACCTCTAATCTATCTCCCCAGCCTGCATCCCTCTGTCTCCATTGTCCATGTCTTCATATAGTTCCTCTACTTCTCTTCTCTCTAAGCCAGCCCTCATTTGGCCATTAATTCTTTCTCCACATGCAAATCTGAGAGTACCTTTCCACTACCTAGTAATGACTTAGTATGGCTGGAAAAAGACATCCACTCTTGGCAGCAAAGGATATAATCCCCCTCCCATGCTGTTACTCTAACCTGCCACTGACTTTGTGAAAGCTTTCTCCTCTGCCCATGGTACCTCTTATCTGGGAAATGCTAGTCATTTTCAAGACCCTGGAGTGCTGTCTTCCCAGGTGACCCTTGTGCCATTCTTTGTATGGTTTCACTGTTACTACTATATGATTTTCATTGTTCTGAACTGTAGTTTGTTTCTTAGCATCTATTTGCCAATCTGGGGCTCTTCAAAAGCTGAAACTACCTCATCTCCTCTTCATGGCCCTGCCACATTGCTCATCATACAGTAGGTACAGTCATATTTAGCTAATGGATGGGATAGATGATAAAATTGGTAAAGTAACTTGCTGGGTGCTTATTATCTTTTTGGGTTTGATCCTGAGGCTTTCATCGCTTCTCATTCCATAGGAAGAATGTTGGCAATGCATGAAGGCCAGAGAAATGCTTGTTTTGTAATGGGCCTCTTTCCTAGAACTGTGTCATGGGTAAAGACACAGATGGGGACGCAGAATTTCAGAAAAAGGAAGGCGCTGGCTGAGGGAAGGCGCATCAGTCTAAGCCGTTGCTGGAAATTAATTTTAGCTCAAAGTAGGAGAGACCCTTGCAGACCTCCCCCCCCATAAATCTTAGAATATGAAGGTTTACTTCAAAAAATTACATAAAAAATGAAACAAAACAGGACACAGCTGCACTTAATGTAGAGTTTCTTTAAGTTGCAGGGTTCTTTAGGTGGTATTGGTAAACTTTGTAAAAGGGTTAAGAGCAAGCTATAGACCCATGTAACTTAAGACTTGTTCTCGGTCCCCAACAGGACTTCAGAACGAAGGTCCCTTAACATTAGCTTCAAGTTCTTATTCTCTTTCTGATAATGGGCTCAGCACAACGGGTTTGGCAGGCAGGAGCTCGGGGGACACTTAGGTGCCGTGTCCCTCTCTGAGCAGACTGGGCAGAACAGGCCTGCAGGTTCCCATGGCAGACTGGCTGGTGTGCTCTGGTAAATTAGGGCAAATGCTGGTCTCCACTTTGGGTTCCCTTTCAGTTAGGCAGGACTGGTGTTCACAACAGCCATCTGGCTATCATTTACTGAACTATTATTACACAAATCATTCCTACAAAGCCCTTAAAAAAAAAAAAAAAAAAGGTAGGGAAACAGGCTCTGCTGTGTGCTCCAATCTACCTTCATGGGTGGGAAGAAGATCAAGGGCCATTCAGAGAGTCAGAAAGGTTCAGGAAAAAAAAAAATCTGTGTCACACAAATTATCAGGAGACTCAGAACAGCATACAGGTCTCACTCCACCCCTTGGCTCCAGGCCACGTTTTCAGTTTGGTCAGTTTCTTAGCCCCACCGAATTTATAGTTTCCTTTCGAATGATTAAAGAAAAAACCAAAAACATCCAAACCAGTATGATTTTAGGAGCATCTCCAACACTGACTTTGTGCGATGAGACAGTGTCCATCTGCTCCCTTCAAGTGGCTCCCACCCACCGCTGGTGTCAACTGGAGCTGAGAACTCCACCCCAAACTCTAGAGAAGCCCATGTGGCAGGTCAGGAGAGGGAAGTCCTGAGACCTCTAGGAGGAAAATAAGCTAGAACGAAAGCAACCCGGCAGAGGCTTCTTAGAAATAGCCCCTTTATCTCACTTCTCTCTGGGGCGGATTTCACCCTTTTACAGAAAGGAGTGGGGCGTCCCCTCGGAGGCAGGGACAGCTCCCAAATGCATTTTGAAAACAACGGCACAAAGCACTACAGAAAGTTCGGAAACTCACCTTTGGGACCCCTGGAAGGCTTCCTTCCTGCAGGCGGGACTTATGATCTGCCCGGGAGCTGTCTGAAGTGACTTGGGCACAAGGGCGAGGTCTGGGTCCTTCCTCCAGCCCCTCCCTCTCACTGCCAGGTCCCCGGAGAGAGGCGGCGCTGCGGGTCAGTGGGTGACACCCGCGTGGTGGGGAGGAAAGCGCCCCGGGTGTTCCCTGCTGAAGTTTCACCGGCACCCAGTCCTGCTCCTGGTGTCAGGAGCACTCACTGGACTTCCTGAATCTAGCTGACTGGCTCCACCGTTCCCCAGCCCAGCTCACGCCTTAAACTAGGGCATACACGCCACAGCCACAGCCACAGCCACGGCCCCATGTCTTTCCTCCGGGTCTCCCCGAGGGCTCCCACCCCGCCCCGCGGTGACGTTCTTTTGCCCCTCCGCCCCCAGCACGCCTCCTTCCGGAGGGATTGGACGCCTGAGCTCTCCTTGAGCTGGCCGAGGCAGCTTTGCTCGCAGATGCCATCAGTGTTCCCGGAGAGGTGTAAACTCCCAGCCCTGGCTGTAGGGAAAACATCAGCCTGGCGCTGAGGAATAGAGCCACCGTCCAGGAAAAGCGGTGTCTAAGGGAGGGCGAGCCACAGTGCCTCATCCCCACTAGGTATCCGTGTGTGTGTGTGTGTGTGTGTGTGTGTGTGTGTGTGTGTGTGTGTGTGTTCTAAGGCATCACTTGGGAACCGTCTTTGGCTGCTGACTGAGGACACTGAAGAAAGCCACGGGAGCCACCTGGAGATGTTAGGAGAACGGGAGGCCGGCCGGGACAACTAACTTTAGAAAGTTTTCAGGAGTTCTTCCTTTCCATTTTATGTGTTCTTCGTGTGCTCATATTCAGATCTCTTGGATCTAACTCCGCGCACAAATGTAAAGTCTCAGATAATGGAGAACAGAGAGCTTGCTCAGTGCCTCCAAGGCTTCCGAAGGGAAGTGGGGAAGTATGACGACAGCAGTGGCTGTGGAATACACAGGGGCTTCCCCAGAACCACCTTGGGAGATCTTGCCGTGATAAGGACGTGAGATTCAGCCCATTGGATTGTAGGTGCCAGGCGCGGTGCGGTTCTAGTGGCTGTGCCTGAACTGTCGGGTCTTTTGGCCTTTGTGTGCCTGAATTAAAATGACTGGTGAAACCAACTGTCACAACTGAGAAACAAGAGTGTTTTCTCTGGTTATTCAAGAGAAGCCAGCCGGGCTCTGGTTGAAAGGCCAGAGAAAAATCTCAGCACTCATCCAGGAATGCCAAGAATAGTTAAGAGGTGGTGTGGTCTTCTTTCAAAGGCAGATGGATTAGAGACCTCCTCCCCCCTTCCAAATCCCTGGAGAGAACTTGATCTAGGTCTGTTGTTGGTCCTTTGGAAGCAAATCTCACTATATAGCCCTGGCTGGCCCGGAACTCACAATGTGGGCCAGGCTATGCCTCTTGACTTCTGGAATTAAAGTTGTGTCCATCATGCCCTGCATTGGTCTAGATTTGAAGAAGTGGAAGAATGGTCCCAGAGATCTGATGTCCAGGGATTTAGTGTGGTTGAGTGGATGGTGAAGGGAGGGTCAGGCTCTGAAAGAAGACAGAGATCTTAGAAAAAAAGACAGCCATACATGGACTCCACTAACAGCTTAGGGTGCCTCCATGGAAGGCTCCTCTGCTGTGTTGGATCTGAGGCCCCAGAAGACAGGCTTGGGGAACCTTAAGTGCAAACCTGGTGATTGGAGACTATGCCTCTCCCCCAAGACCTACAGCTTTAAATAGTGTATCATTCTGTCTGGAACCCCACATGTGTGAGGCATAATCTGACCTCCCTTTTGAGCATGGTAAGTAGCTTTTTTTTCCCTCAAGGTCACAGCTAGTATACAGCGGAGCTTAGATCTGAGTAGTTCTGATCCAGCTTACCCCTCACCCATCATTTCATCAGGAGAGAGAATGGCTTCTGTGAAAACTTCTTCTCTGAGCTGGCCTGATGTTCAAGTCTGGGTTGACACCTACCAGGCAGGGGGAAGACAACAGAAACTACTTTTTCCTGAACAACTTTATTGATAGGTTCAGGCTGAAGTGAGAGTCTCATTGCTTCCCAGAAAAACAAAAAACAACATGGAGAAACGATGAACCCAAGGCAGCCAGCATGAGCTCAGTGCTTCGACAGTATGACTGTCACGTATGGAAGAAGAACAAGATGCTTATTTGTAGGGTGGCATCTCAGTGCTGTCGTAGGCCACAGGGAGACAAATTCAGTAAAAGTTTAGGACCTACTGAGTGCCAATGGCTTTGTGGCAGGCAAATTTGAGACCTACTAGATGGCAAAATAGTAGGTGTACTGTCACTGAATTGCCAAGGCTACAGGGTCTGTTCAGGTTCTGACACCATGAGAAAGAAAGATCTGTGGCAGAAGCAAAGAAATGAGCATCTGGCCAGGAGGTTTCCATTCTGTTCTGTTGACTCATCCCTTATGAAAAGGCAAGTCAGAGCACCCACCTCCTGCTTCACCCCTTTGGCAGTGAAATCTCAACTCCTATGAACTCACGAATAGCCCTCAGCAACCATGGTGCTATTCAGTTTTTAAAATCCTCATTAGTTTTCACGTTTTTGGTAAGGATCTTTGAAGACAGTCAGGAGGTTAGTGGACCCCAAGTGGAGTGAAACGGAGCATTAACACATCTAATTAAGGAACAAAAAGCACCCAAATAGCAGGTTTGTGAACCAAGACTAGAAATTTAAACCACTTTTGTGGGTGACCACCCTTCACCAGCTTTAGCACCTGATGGGCTCTGGTTCCATATTAGAATGTTTTGGACCAAAAGCTGTCGGTACCTTCCCAGATGTTGTAGGAACAGACAGGATATTGAACATTAAATTTTTGTCTGCACTGATGATGAAGACCGACTACGCGTGTTCTCTCTTGAAAAAGTCCTATTTCTGACAGGCCAGAGGCAGTGTTGGCAGGCACGGATTCATCTGCAAGCCACCTGTGGGAGACAGTTTCCCATCAGGTCATATGCTCTGAGTGCAGAAATCAGAACCATGTTGGAGAGCAACAGCAAAAGGGGTGCTGTCATCCGGTGGGAACAATTAAACGGCAAATCTTAAATTATTATCACCTAAAACTGGTGCATTCTTGCCTGCAACACTCTGCGTGGCACAGGCATGTCCAGCCTTTGAACACTTCGACACAACAGCGTCATTGACAATATGAACATTCAAGAACCACGAAACCAGGGTACAAAAAATCTGAAATAAAAACACTCGCTCCTCACAGTGTTTTAAGGCAGTTTGTGATTTTTGTGCTAGTCTCCATCTAGAGCTACCCTTGGCCACATGAGTTCTGGGGCAGTTCCTGTGTTGGACAGGCTTGGTGGAGGTGAAAGCAGAGCTAGAAGAAGAAGGCAGAAGGGCAGCTGGCCAGACGAAAGGTTTTAGCGGGAAGTGATGGAACTGCATTGTGGGTAAAATGAGCGCAGACTTGTTTCTCAGCTCCTGGAACGCCGCAGCCTCTGAGAAAGGCAAGTTCAGGACAAGTCGGCGGAAATGCTACTTCACACAGCGGGGTAATGAGTTTGTGGAATGGATTATCTCCCAGAGGTGGCCCGAGCTGGCAATGTAAGTGGATTACAGAAAGCTTTGGAGGGATGTGGGAATGGCAGAGCTGTAACCACCGAGAGGTGAGGAAAGCTGAGAAGTACACCAAACAGGAGTTCAAGGTGGCGCCACAGAATGGACCTCTGGTCTTTGTAGCCAAAGGAATCCTGGCTTCCCACGTGCTTAGCTTTAAGCCAATGGGTGGCTCCAACACTTCGGTCCGTATCTTACAGTGTCTGCAGCGGCTGCTTCCTTTAGGCAGCAAAACTGCTCTTTTTACTTAAGCCTTACTCCTTTAAAATGCGTTACTCTTTCGTCGTTGGCTCTCAACTTCTGAAAAGATTTTGAACGTGTCTCCAGACTGTTTATTATATGTGTCTCTTGCAATTAGATTTCCATCCAACTTTCCTCCTAAATCATCAAATCTGGACAGAAACCACTCTAATTCTGGAAGCTCCTCTGAAGAAAAGCACTAACAATTCAATTTTCTCAGGAATACTTCATAGCGTGTCATCCAAAGTGTCCTCCCTGATGCATGGGAAATGCTGGGCAAACAATGGCTGGCCACAGCCACGGTGACAAATCCTGGCATTGGCGGTGGGGGGGGGGGTTGAGGAAACTCTTGGTCCTCTCATCTGATAACCCACCATCCCCCCCACCCCTCTGCTGCATGTACTCTATGCCTTCTTTAGTGTTCCTATACGTTGTAGGAAATAGCTCTCTGCCCCACCTCCTTGAGAAAGAGGGTGACTCTGAGGGGTGTTTTTTGTATTTCTGGGCACTGAGGTGCTCTGTTTTCACTTTCAGTCTCTGGTTCAGAGCAGCCCCGGTGCTGTTTTCAAAGCAGTTTCACAGCACTATGGCTAGCTGTGGTGAACTGGCAGCCCTGCTGCCCGGAGCCCTTAGATGGATTCAGCTTTGCTTTGTTAATGTAAACAGTGGGCTTCTGCTTCCAGTCTTGGGGCGGGCATATCGGGGCAGGAGAGCCCACAGAGTTCTCATTTTGCCTCCCTTTGTAGTCTCCTTTGTCACCTGCTCCTCTTGTGGGGATGGGTTTAATTATTGATTTACTGAGTGACCCCGCCGTTTGGGGTCTCAACGCCTACACAGAGCAGGTAGAACATTTCTTGTCATTTTGTTGGAGAGATCCCTGGGAAACTCCAGCTTACCCTGCCCAGATCATTCATTTTGGCAGAAGGTTTTGTGAAGGCTGCAACCGATCAAGCTTCTTGCCCCGAGGGCCCATGAAATAACAGTGGCTTTGAAATTTGCTTCCTTGACTACTTCAGTGACTCAGAACATCAATGTTGCCACAAACAAACTTCCTGTCCCCAGGCTGGCTCTTTCATAACAGGTAAAAGGAAGGGCTTGAAGAAAAAAAAAAAAAATGAAATGACGAGAGAGTTCTCATTAACCAGGTTGTAGGAGTGAATTCTTTCTTTTTTAACTACTGTTGATGTATTGCTTTCTTTGTGCCAAGTTCTATACTGTATGCGTCAGTAGAAAACTGTTTATATTGAAAGGTTGCACTCTGTAATTTGGATTTAAGGGCAGTAAGGCTGGAACACTCAAAGAAATTTTCTTAATAAAGGTGGATTGACCAAAATATAGAGCGACAAAAGAATCTGAAATACAGTGAGATGCAGTGAGTGGTCTCTGACTGGGCAGAGCAGGAACAAAGGTGGTGTTAAGACAGTACAAACATGGCCGAACTCCCCGTCCCCCACCCCTCACCAAAAGATTCAAA